TGGGATCCCTCCAGGACCCACAGGATCCCACCTCAAGCCTTGGTGACCCCTAGGATGCCCCTAGGACCCCCCCTAAGCCTTGGGACCCCCTGAGGACCTCCCTCTTCAAGCCTTAGGGACCCCCCAGGATGTTCAGAAGCTCTTGGGGTGCCCCAAGGGGCCCAGAAAGGTCTCCTGGGGTGCCCCCAGGGCAGCTGAGGTGCCCAAGGGGGTGTCATGGTGCCCCAATGAGGTGGGGCTTCTGGGCTCACCCGAATACTTGCCCCCCTTGCTGCGCTTGATGAAGCAGAGGATGAGGAGGAGCAGCAGCAGCAGCACCAGGGCACTGACAAAGCCGATGAACCAGCCCTCAGTGGCGAAGCCGCCCGCAGGGGTGGGCAGCACTGCAGAGGTGGGGGGGGGGGGGTCAGGGCCAGCCCCCACCACAGGTACCCCCGCACCCCTGAACTGCTTTTGGGGGTCCCGGGGAGGTGGCGGGGTGGTTTCAAGGGTGCCCAGTGGAAGGGAGTAAAGCAATTTCAGAGGCCCTGAGGTGGTGGTGGGGCAGTTTCTAGGATGCTGGGGGGAGGGAAGAGCAGTTTTGGGAGTCCCTGAGGTGGCAAGGAAAAGTTTGGGCGGGGGGGGACGACCTCATGCAGAGGAATTGGATTGGAGGGGATGGAGCTACAGGGGGGGTGGTTTCGAGGGTTCCCATGAGGCAGAAAAGGGGTTTTAAGAGTCCCTGGAGTGACAAAGGGTTGTTTTGAAGGTGCCTGCAGGTCAGAAAGGGGGTTTCGAGGGTTCCCAGCAGCAGGGAGTGGTTTAGAGGGTGCCCATGGGGCAGAAAGGGGGTTTTGAAGATCCCCAATGTGACTGTGGGCAGTTTTGAGGGTGCCCATGGGCAGAAAGGCAGTTTAGAAGGTGCTTGTAGGGCAGAAAGGGAGTTTTGAGGGTCCCAGGAGCAGCAAAGAGGCAGTTTCAAGGATGCCCACAGGGCAGTATGGGGGTTTTGAGGGTTCCCAGTGCAGCAGAGGGTGGTTTCAAGGGCACTCATGGGGCAGGAAGGGGGTTTTGAGGGTCTCTGGCATGGCAGGGGGTGGTTTCAAGGGTGCCCACAAGCAGGAAGGGGGACTCACAGGTGCCGTTGGTGTGCACCTCGCTCTCCCAGAAGGCCACGCTCTCGCCTGAGTGGTTGCGCCCCACGAACTGGACACGGTAGGAGGTGCCGGGGCGCAGGTCCCCCAGGCGGTACAGCCCCAGCGTGGAGTTGACACGGCCCGAGGTGCGCCAGGGCTCAGCCGCTGCAGGGGGCGAGCACCCCCAGGGAGTCACAGCCAGTTCCCCATGGCCAGGGCCCCCCAACACTGCCCCCAGCCCCTACCAAACCCTATCTGCCCTCACTCAGGGCCCCTCAAACCCTGCAGGGGACA